GGCGCAGATGAGCTTCTAATGTGTGTCTGTGGGTGGCTCTGGAGGTAGGGGCAGCTGAGTGAGAAAGCTGGAAGACCAGGTGGCCACAGAGAGGAAGAGGCACCACTGGGGAAGGAGGAATCAGAGATCCTGCCACAGGCCAGGCTCCTCTTGATCTCGGTTTATCTCTGCTGTGTGCACAGATAGCAGTGATGGGCCAACGTCCTGTTTTTATAGCAAGAGGGGACTTCTGGCCACACACTGGGAATGGAGAGAAAAGATAACTCCCTGAGAAATGAAAGATCTCAGTGCCAGATGGGATGAAGGCAAAGGGAAGAGTGAAGGCCAACTTGCCAGGGGAATGGAGAGCAGCGTTGCCTCAGGCCCCCAGCCCTAGAAGAATGGAGACTTGCAGAGGGAGCAGGCTTCTGGCAGATGAGGAATTTGCTTTTGGACTTACATTTGAGGTATGGCAGGACACCCGTCCTTGGGTCAGAACACAAAACCCGGAGGGACAGCGTGAAGGAGGAGCGCAGGTGTCTGCGTGGGAGAGTTGGACCTGAGAGTCATCACAGGGCAGTGGACATAGGGTCTGAGAGAGCCTGAGAAGTCTCGAGAGTGGGGGGTTGGATGAAGAGGAGCAGAGGGTCTTGGTGTGGGTATGAGAGGTTCTGCAAATCACATTTGGAGCCTGGTTGGCAGTCATTTTGGAAAAGTCTCATTTTTCCCACACTGAGTCTTCTTTGGCTCCCTGGAATAATCCATTCTCTCCACAGATATGCTCAAGGCGGGTCGCTGGAAATCTTACATAGCCATGCTCACCTCTCAGAGCTATCCTGACTCCAGAAGGGATCACAAAGGTACCCCCACTCCTTGCAAAGCCCGATAGGACCACGCAGCCATCGCTACTTCAGCCAGCAGGCCATGGGGGCATCTAGCTCAGCTCTCTTGGAGAACTCAGCAATTTGTTCCTCTTGCCTTCCCTATTTCTGATTGTAGCCTTGGATAGCCCGAAGTCAGTTGTTGATGAGAACATCATTCTGCCCTGCCTTCTGCCAGCTTCCTTGGGCCCGTCGAGCCTCCTTTTGCTGTCCAGCCCCCTCAGCTGGTGCAAACAGGTGGCGGCTGGGGCTGGTCTGCAGCTGACCTGACCGGGGACACGCTGGTTACCACCCCCAAGAAGCCTTTTCCTGCTCCCTTTGCCCCTTCCAACTTGAATGCAAATGTCACTCCTGAATCCCATCATTGAGGGATTTATTTTTTGGTAGAAAATACCATGTTGGAAAGGACATTTGTCCTCTCTACTGTTTAAATTGCTTGCTACGGGTTAGTGAGACCTAGCCATTGATTTTCTTCTAGAGAGCGTAGCAAGCCCTGTGAAGATTTTGGCTAATTAACTTTTGGAGAAGTGTTACTTGAATTTATCAAGGAGGTTGAAGTCTCTTTTCTTCTCCTATATCTTGAAAAAGGCTTTAAATTTCGTTTCTGAATCTCTGCTAACACCTGGTCTGTTTAAAAGTGACTTCCCTGGAGGCGATGGAGAGGGGCTGCTGAATGTCACGCTTTTGCAGCTTCGATCTTTAATACAGTTGTTCTAGTCTGCAGAAAGTCTGCTCTGTTTACCTAAGAGAGGTATCATTCACACAAAGATTACATTTAAAAATATACATGTCCCCCCAGCCTGCCCGTTACTAATAACATTGCATGTTATGAAAGTGGAACGTGTTTAAGATGAAATTAATTTTCTCCTGGTATGCCACCTTGTTTGACTTTCTCAATCCATTTGGTGTGAGGTACTAATGTTGGGCAACCTCTCTTTTCATTTGGAGCAAATTCGCTTTCTTGTTCTTCTTGTATGGATTGCCCCTGTTGGAAGTGAGTTACTAGCGTATCAGGAAAAGTGCAATTTGAAATCCTACTGTGTAGATTTCTTTTGTATTGGCGTCCAGAAGTTGGTTTTGAAATTGGAATCCTGGTCTCTCCAGTAGATGAGTTTTAGTGTATAATTTTCTTCTTCTTCTTCTTTTTTTTATTTTGGGACCTGATTTTGTGGGTTGTTTTTTTCAGCAGAATTTCTGGGGCTAGAATAGTTAACATCTTTTTTGGCAGCCTGTCAAAAGATCGTGGGAAAGCAGATCACTGTTTCGCAGATCGGACACCTCTTTGTCAGCTGTTCTCATCGGTTCTCATCCATGTGGCCTGGCTGGTTGCTGTTTTGTGGATGGGTGCTAACGCGGCCAGGACACCCCGAACAGGCTGTGCCATCTTGTCTGGGCCAAGCTGCCTGAGAAAGTTCTGTTCCACTGAGCTACATCGCCTTAGCAGAAGGCATGTAAGCTGGTGTGACACAGATGAACACTTTGTGGAAAATGGTCTTTATTTTTGATCAATCTCATGATCCTTGCTACCAGCTTTGATTACATCAGCTTATGTGCCATTCTGCTTTACAGCATTTTAATGGGCTTTCATCTCCCTCCCCCAATTCATTTCCGGCTGTGTGACTATTATAATTTGAATACAGTTTGGTTTTGCAACAGCCAGGATACTTTCTGAACATATTATGCCTTCCTTGTGAAGATGTTCAGAGGTAAAAGGAGCAAAGGTTTTTTTTGCCTCCCAGACTCTTGGGAACAAGTAATTTCCAAATGATGCCTCAGAAGCTTCCATGGTTGTGTTCTCCCTTAATAAGATATTTGCTTTAGGCTTTTTGGTAGAGTCTGACTCATTGATTTTCTAAAAAGAGTATAGACAAGTCCATTTAAAACTTTGCTTTCTAATAAGTCGTGATCAGAATGTGAAGTAATTGGAACCCTGGTATACTGTTGGTGGGAATGTAAAATGGTACAACCACTACAAAAAACAGTATTGTGCTTCCTTAAAAAATAAAAAATAGGCCAGGCGAGGTGGCTCACACCTGTAATCACACTCTGGGAGACCGAGGTGGGCGGATCCTTTGCCCTCAGGAGTTCGGGACCAGCCTGAGCAAGAGCGAGACCCTGTCTCTACTAAAAATAGAAAGAAATTAACTGGACAACTAAAAATATGCAGTAAAAATTAGCCAGGCATGGTGGCGCATGCCTGTGGCCCCAGCTACTTGGAAGACTGAGGCAGTAGGATCACTTGAACCCAGGAGTTTGAGATTGCTGTGAGCTAGGCTGACGCCACGGCACTTTAACCCAGGCAACAGAGCAAGACTCTATCTCAAAAAAAAAAAAAAGAAAAGAAAAATAGACCAACCATGTGACCCAACAATTCCACTTATGGAATATACCCAAAAGAATTGAAAGCAGGGTCTTGAAGAGATATCTGTACACCCATATTCATAGCAGCGTTATTCACAATAGCTAAAATATGGAAGCAACCCAGGTCCCCATCGGCAAAATGGCAAGCAAAATATGGTATATACACACAATGGAATAGTATCCAGCCATAAAAATAAAGAAAATTCTTATATAAGCTACAACATAGATAAACCTTGAGGACATTATGCTAAGTGAAATAAGCCAGTCACAAAAAGACAAATACTGTAGAATACCATTTATAGGAGGTACTTCAAGTAGTCAAAATCAAAGAGAAAGTAGAATGGTGGTTGCCAGGGCTGTGGGGAAGAGGAATTGGGAGTTTTTATTTAATGGATATGGAGTTGTAGTTTTCCAAGATGAAAAGAATTCTGGAAATAGATGGTGGTGATGGTTGTACAACAATGTGAATTTGCTTAATGCCACTGAACTGTATATTTAAACTGTACATTTAGGATAGTAAATTTTATGTTATGTGTATTTTACCACAATTTAAAAATTGAAAAAAAAACAAAAAACCCAACTTTGCTTTTTTTGTTACTCTTAAAATACTTAGGTTAAGAAATATTATTTTTAACTTAGAGACTTTCCCTCCCAGATTTTGGCTTCCTCAAATCTACATAGAACTAAAACAAAGGGACATTCCTAATGTTGCTTCAAAATGAGCAACTGGGTTCTCCCTTTTGCCCCTTGCAGTTCCTGTGTCTCCTCCCCTTCTCACCCTTTCTTCCCTTCACCCCCAAATAAGAGGCTCAAGGTTACCTGGTAAAAGTTATGTTATTACAATTGAATTTCCTTGAGCCATTTACTAGCCTCCACTGTGTGCCTATGTTTTGTTTATTAGGTATTTGCTGTCATTGATTATTTTTGTGCTTTACATTTGATCTGTTATATCAGTGTTCTCTTTTTGGTCTTTGGAAAGGACACTATCTTAAAATTAATAGCATCACCACATGTCCAAGGATACCAAAGAGTCAGGAACATAAAATTTGCTGTGCTTAATCAAATCATCACTCCACCAAACCAGAAAGGTCTTTCTAATTGTGTTTTAAATTCCAGGAGTGGAATTATTTTGAATTCAAAATTCAGCTATTATTATTTTAAATGCTTCTTTTGTTTTCCATCAGAAAGTTTTTTTTCTTTAAATGTGTGATTTTAGAAGATGGGTGATTGCTCCTCCACACCTTCTTCCCCTACAATAGCCCTACTTTTATAGGATGTCTCCTCTGCCCTTCTAGTTTTTGTTTATATGGTGTGTTTCTCTTCCATAGTAATGGAAATCTGGGTATCTTTGCTGGTGGTTAGGGTTCATCTACAGTGTCTTTGCTGGTGACCTCTGAGAACAAAGTGTGGCTGATGGGGGATGTTAAAGAGGGGGTTCTAGAAGCTTGATGTCTTCTAGACCCCATGCAGAAGGTTGTTCAGAACTACTTGCTTCTGGAGCAGGACTTGTCTCTCTTAGTGGTAGTTTATTCTTGGGGCCCTAGGCTCTTTGGTAAAAAAATTTCTAAGTTATCTGATGGATTTAGGAAAGGAAACAGAACCTGGTGGAAACCTGACACTGACTGGCATTCTGCCCATTGGCAAGGCTCTCCGGTGCTCACTGCCTTGGTCTTCGTAACTGTGAAATCTTCCCAGGGAGGTGGGTGGGTGACATCAGTTTCCCTCTGGGTGTGTTTAGGTTTTCTCTGGCCTCACCCCTTCACTCTCTGTCTCTGGCAGGCTTGGGGACCAGTTCTACAAGGAAGCCATTGAGCACTGCCGGAGTTATAACTCGCGGCTGTGTGCAGAGCGCAGTGTACGTCTTCCCTTCCTGGACTCACAGACTGGGGTTGCCCAGAACAACTGCTACATCTGGATGGAGAAGAGGCACCGAGGCCCAGGTGAGCGAGGCCACTCCTGGGACGTGTTTATGTGTAGGCTCCCAGTCTGGAGGGAGGAGGGCCAGAACTCATCTGGGAATCCAGGCAGCCTGGGTGGGGCGGGGGTGTGGCAAAGCCGCGCCTGGGCCTCTGAGACACTTTCAAGAAACTCAACTACGTTTATAGCTCCTGGCAGGTATTCCAAGGATCCTACAAGGATGGTGTGCCGCTGTGGGGCATTGAAGCCATGTGGCTGGGGCGGGGAGTGAAAGAACTCTAGATGTTTCTCCCAAAGAAGGCAGGACTGAGGATATGACAGCAGTCTTCATCTTTTACCCTTGGGTGTTGGTTAATCTTCAGTCACCCTTAGGTGTTGGAAATCTGCCGTCAGACCTGAGTGTGAGGCTTAGCTTTGTCACCAAATTTCTGTCCCTCAGGTTCCTCATCTGTAAAATACAAATATTGTATAAAGTACTTACCACAAAGGATTTTGTCTAATTAAATGTGAACATAGTCAGGAAAAAACTCACAAAATGAGTTTAGTACCTAGTAAGTATGTACTCCAAAAAAATGCTACTATTGTTGATATTACTATTACTTCGACACTAGTTTTTTAGGCTCCAGAGAGCAGAATAAAGACCTTTATTAGGGAGGCAACTATAGGAATATGGTTTTCTGGCTGTATATGGATATATTTTTGAAAACTTTTTATTTTGAAAAATTTCAAACTCATATAAAAATGAGACAATAGTAAAATGAATCTCCATGTATCCCAGTCTCAACAATGATCAACTCATGGCCAGTCTTGTCTCCTTTATACTCACCCCTCCTTTTCCTCTCTGATCCCAGATTATTTTGAAACAAATCCAAGACAGCACATTTTTTTTTTTTTTTTTTTTGAGACAGAGTCTCACTTTGTTGCCCAGGCTAGAGTGAGTGCCGTGGTGTCAGACTAGCTCACAGCAACCTCAAACTCCTGGGCTCGAGTGATCCTTCTGCCTCAGCCTCCCGGGTAGCTGGGACTACAGGCATGCGCCACCATGCCCGGCTAATTTTTTTTATATATATATCAGTTGGCCAATTAATTTCTTTGTATTTATAGTAGAGACGGGGTCTCGCTCTTGCTCAGGCTGGTTTTGAACTCCTGACCTTGAGCAATCCGCCCGCCTCGGCCTCCCAAGAGCTAGGATTACAGGCGTGAGCCACAGCGCCCGGCCAGCACATTTTTTTTTTATCTGTAAATGTTTTGTTATGTATCTCTAAATGGCAAGCACTTAAACAAACAAACACACAATTGCTATCAAAGCTCAACAAATTAACAAGACTTTATATCATCTAATATTTGGTCAACATTCATTTTCCCCCTGCAGTTTAAGTAGAATCCCTAAATTGCATTTGGTTGATGTGTCTTTTAAGATCTGTAGGTTTCTCTCTGTCTCTGTCTATCTCTTTCCTCCTTGCATGTTATTAGTTGAAGACACTGGATTGTTTGCACTCTAGGGTTTAGCAGGATCTGGGTTTGCTGATTGCATCCCTATGGTGTTATTCCAATGAATTGGTGGTTAGGTCTAGAGACTTATTCAGGTTCAAGTTTTTTGGCAAGAGTAATTCCTAGGTGGTAGTGTGACTTTGAATAGGAGGCTCACACAGTCTGGTTATCTCTTTTACTGATGTTAGCAGCCCTTCATGATAATTGCTGAGATTCTTTATTTCATTAAGGGTTGCAAAAAGGTGACATTCAATTCGAGGCCATCATTATATCTTCATTTATTAGCTCTACAACTTGTATAAAGAAAAACATGTCCTCATTAAAATTTTGGTTATTGTGGGTACAGTTCACAAATGAAAGGCAGGATAAATGATTTTTTCCCCTTTATTTACCAGTTTTCAAAATAATGAGTTGGTTCCCTAGCATTCTCTAAAGGTGATCAATAAAGTTATTTTTTTTGAGCACCATCATGAACTCAAAAATTTAAACGTATTGGATGTATTTTAATCCATTGCAGCTATTATTTTTATTGATGCTTACATTGTCCTATCTTTTTGGCCATTAGGGGTTTTGGCCAATGCTGGTGTTTTGAAATAACCTCAGTAGTTTCTTTTTTGTTGTTCCTTTTTGTTTTTTGAGACAGAGTCTCACTCTGTTGCCCAGTCTAGAGTGAGCGCTGTGGCGTCAGCCTAGCTCACAGCAACCTCAAACTCCTGGGCTCAAGCAATCCTACTGCCTTAGCCTCCTGAGTGGCTGAGACTACAGGCATGCGCCACCATGCCCGGATAATTTTTTCTATATATCTTTTAGTAGGCCAATTAATTTCTTTCTATTTATAGTAGAGACAGGACCTCGCTCTTGCTTAGGTTGGTTTTGAACTCCTGACCTTGAGCAATCTGCCCGCCTGGGCCTCCCAGAGTGCTAGGATTACAGGTGTGAGCCACGGCACCTGGCCCCTCAGTAGTTTCTGATAGCCTCTGTGTTACCCTGATATTCGGATAGATGTTTCAGACTCATTTTATATACTTCCTGTCCCAGGCCTAGAAGCAACTATTTCTCTAAGAAATCCTGGTTCCTTTGCATAGGGAATGTTATTTAGAGACCACATTCTGGCGGTGGTCATTGCTTCTGGGTTGGTCATTGTTTCTAGACCTTGTCAGTGAGTAGAACTAAGACATAGGATTCTTTTTTCTTTTTAAGAGAAAATACATTATAAAATTACACTGATATTTCCAATTAAATTTGGTTTTTTCCTCTTTTTAAATTTCTATTTCTCTTCAGTGTTCAATTCAGTTTAAAACAGTTATTACTTAACTATCTTGATTTGATATCTCCTTTCTCCTACATCAAGAAAAAAAAACCCCTGGGTATTAATGATACTGACATAATTACTTATTTGTTTTATCCCATTATACATACATACACACAAACACTATCAGAATAACAGTAAGACTACCAACAATAAGATTACTGAAAAAAGTTTAAGATTTTTTGTTTTCTTTTCTTTTTTTTTGCAATTCTTTTTGTCTTTAGGGTATATTCCATTAAGGATATAGAGTGAAATCACTCTGCTTTGAGGTCAGTTGAGAGAGTTCCTCTGTGATTTTGCCACTAAATACGCAGTTGGATTCATTTATTTCATTTTGCTTTCCCTCATCAGGGATTATGGGGGGCAGGGTTCATATAATTTCTTTTTCTTTTTAAAATTAACTTTTTTTGACCCAGAACAGTGGCTCACGCCTGTAATCCTAGCACTCTGGGAGGCCTAAGCGGGAGGATCGTTTGTACTTAGGAATTCGTGACCAGCCTGAGCAAGAGTGAGACGCCGTCTCTACTAAAAATAGAAATTAGCTGGACAACTAAAAATATGTAGAAAAAATTAGCCGGGCATGGTGGCGCATGCCTGTAGTCCCAGCTACTCGGGAGGCTGATGCAGAAGGGTTGCTTGAGCCCAGGAGTTCGAGGTTGCTGTGAGCTATGAAGATGGCATGGCACTCTAGCCTGGACAACAGAGTGAGACTGTTTCAAAAAAAACCCAAAAAACAAAGAAACAAAAAAATTAACTTTTTTCTATTTTGAAATAATTATATATCTACTGGAAGTTGCAAACATAGTACAGAGAGATCACCTATACTCTTCATCCACTTTCCCCCAAGATGAACATATCTTACAATATCAAAACCATCCATAGCTCTATGCCATTTTATCACATGTATAGATTTGTGTAACCACCGCCACAATCAGTATACAGAACTATTCAATCATCCTCACAAAGAACCACCCCTTTAGAGTCACAACCCCTGTCATTCAAATCCCTTTACTTTCCCCCATTTGTAAAAGAGCTGTCTTAAACATTCCTCTACATACAGTGAAAAATACACCAGACAGTGTTAGAATGTTTGCCTCAACCATCAAACAATTTAGAAACTGAAGAGAAGTATTTATTGTGTTTACTCATATTTTTACTCTTTCATTGTTCTTTCTTCCTTCATGACATGTCAAGATTCCTTCTTTTATCATTCCTTTCTGATGAAGTACTTTCTTTAGCTACTCTTTCAGAGTAAATCTACTGGTGACTACTTCTCTTAGTTTTCCTTGGTGTGAGAATGCCTTGACGTTGCCGTCATTCCTGAAGGATATTTTTGCTGCATATAAAATTCTGGGTTGACAGTCCTTTTATTTTTAGCACTTGAAAAATATTTTGCCACTTCTGATGGTTTATGATAAGAAATCTACTATCTATCATTCAAATAGTTTTTCCTTTATAGATGAGGTATCATTTCTCTCTCATTGCTTTCAAGTTTTTTTCGTTGTCTTTAGTTTTCAGAAATTTGATTTTGATGTGTCTTGACATAGATTTCTTTGGGTTTATCCTTATTAGTGTTCACTCAGTTTCTTGAACATGTATGTTTGTTTTTGCCAAGTTTGGGGAAATTTCAGCTATTATTTCTTTGAATACATCTTCAGCCCCACCCTCTTTCCTCTCTCCTTCTGGGAGTTCAGCAACACAAATGCTAGATCTTTCGTTATAGTCCCCAAAGTCCCTGAGATTCTATTTATTTATTTATTTTTCATTTTATTTTCTCTCTGTTGCTCATCTTGGGTGATTTCTATTGTTCTCTCTTCAGGCTTACTGCTTCTTTCTTCTGTCTTCTGTCTTTTACATTTTGCTGTTGAGCCTATCTATTGAGGTTTTTTTGTTTTGTTTTGTTTTTGTGTTTTTTTTTTTCCAGTTCTCAAATTTCTGTTTGGTTCTTCTTTATATTTTCTATTTCTTGTTGAGATTTTACCTTTTTTCATTGTTTCATACATTCATAATTGTTTGTTGAAACATTTCTATGACAGCTGCTTTAAAATCCTTGTCAGATAATTCTAACATCTGTGCCATTTCAACTTAAGTTGAAATTTTCCTGGTTCTTTGATAAGTGATTATGAATGAATCTTAGACATTTTGGCCATTATATTATGAGACTCTGGATGTTATTTAAATCTTCTATTTTAGCAGGCCTCCTCTGATACTGTGCTAATAGGG